TTTTTATAAAAACTATTGCTTAATATGTACGTAATATGTTATAATATATAAAAGATTGCTTGTTGATAATAATAATACCGGTAATTAATAATATAAAACTTATCAAGAATAAAATACCTTTAAGAAACCTGTTAACGTGCACCCGTACCATATATTTTTTACTGCATAACCCTTACCATTATTAACTTGCATTCTCTAGTAATAAATAAGGTTACCTGCATAACTATTTCCCACCTATTTAAATCGCCTTACCCACCTTATTTCTAAATAATAGCGTTTTACGATCTTTACCTTCTAATGATTACGATTCAAGCTAAACCTGTAATAAATGTCTTTAAGCTTTCCCAGAATCATGACAACAATGAAATCAAGCCTGGATAAAAAAAAAAAAAAAGAGAGAGAAGACAAGATTATAACGACCGACAAAATAAGCTGAACTCTTTAAATTTCAGATTCCAACGGAAAAATACAATGTTTACGATTTTTTTAAGAATTTACCATCTCGTAAATGGCTTTTGGGGCGATTAGTATCAACCAAAACTAAGAATACCTTAATTTTCGAATTAGATTCTAAAAAACTCAAATATTTGGGTACAAAAAGCTTTAAAGTCATTAAATTTCAACAACAATCATATCAAAATGGTTCTTTTTTTATGAAATTAGATTACAAAGAAGTAATTTTTATTATATAGATTCGTGGATTATATATAATTTGTTTTTATTTTTCTTTTTTTTTGGAAAGAAAAAAAATGTTATTATCTAATAATAACAATATATATTTTTTAATTATGATATATAATTTGTATTATTTTGCGAGATCTTTTTTCTTAGAAGCGAGAAATATGACTATTTTGTTGATTTTATTAATAGATAATTAAGTAAGCCTCCTTATTTAATTAAAATTTTTTATTGAATGTATTTTATTTATTAATATTTTTGAATCCTTTTTGACATTTTATAAAATTCTTCAATAAATAAAAAAAAATTATTGGTTCACAGTGTTTATACACGGATACTAATTTTTGATTTACAAGTTCTTGTAATATATAAATTATAAGATTAAGCTTTAGGGTTAGGAATGGCTAGGGCTTATATTAAAATGACGCAAATATTTTTTGCTAGAACTCCAAAAGTTGGTTTATAATCAGGATTTTGAGATATCAACATATTCGTGTATATAGACACAGTGTATAAGTAGAAATTGACTAAAAAAATGGTTTTTTTTTTTTTTTACAATTTATATTTCTAATGACCCACGAAGTGGTTCAAGGAATTTAAAGCATTAATACATATTAAAAACATTAAGAACATTGAAGTCTAGTGTTAGAAAAAAATGTAAATTTTTTTAAATATTTTACACTTCGTCCTCCACTGCCAAGCGTCTGTATCCACGGGGCATAGTAGGCCCAGTTTTCAAAGTTGAAATAATCGTGTTAATTAATCCACTATCATCTTTCACCCTTCTTACTCCTCCCTTTCCATCATCAACCCAAATTGGCTTAGTCCACCATCTGAGTAGTAAACTAGAACATACTACACTAACACTTGAACAAGCCATGGCGAAACCTGCCAACATAGGATGTAAATGATATCCCCATGGTAGAAATATTCCCATGGCAAACGGAATTCCTAATAAATTATATAAACATGCCCATAGAAAATTTAACCGTATCCTTTTAAATATAGTTCGTGATAAATCTATAGATGCAACTACATCTGTCATGTCTGGCCGCATAAGCACTATATCTGCTGCTTCAATTGCTATATCAGTTCCAGAACATAATGCAATTCCTAAATCTGCTGCCGCTAATGCTGGCGAATCATTTATTCCATCACCAACCATTGCCACAATATTTCCTCGGCCTTCACGTTGTATTGATTGTATTATTTGAGTTTTACCTTTTGGTGAAACTCCTGCGTGAATTTCAGTTATTCCACATTGTGAAGCTATGGTTTGAGCTGTTAACAATTGGTCACCAGTCACCATTATAACGTCTATACCCATTCGTCTTAATGCACCAACTGCAATTTTAGATTCTGGTTTAATTATATCCGAAAGAAATATTAACCCTACTAATTCTTTATCTATGCTTACTAGAACAGTCGTATGTCCAAGTCGTTCTTGTGTTTCTTTGAGTGTGACTACTGATTCCGGGAGTATAATTCCATTATGTTGTGTCAATAATCGTTCATTTCCTATCAATACATCATAAGTTTTTATATCTGGGGTTGTGAAATCAGTCTTTTTGTTCGTATTATTACGGTCTGTTTTGAGATTGACAGTACATTTTATACCAAGCCCTGAAAAACTTTCAAAATCTGAAACATCTGCATTATATGTTTCAATATATAAAATTTTTTTTCCGTAATTAGTGATAGAACGACCGAGAGGATGCTCGCTTGATGATTCAGCTGCCCCAACAATTTCAAAAAATATTTCCTTGGTTAATTCCGGATTTTCAGCCATTAATTCATAATGAACAACATCCAATTGACCTTTTGTCAAAGTTCCTGTTTTATCAAATACAACTTTTTTAACTTTATGACCTGTCTCAAGTGCAATACCACTCTTAATTAATATTCCATTCTGTGCACCTACTCCTGTACCAACCATTACGGCCGTAGGTGTACTAAGACCTAGTGCACAAGGACACGCTACCACTATAACAGAAATACATAGTTTTAAACAAACCATAAAATAACTTTCATCCTGCGAAAAAATATCGGGAAGAGGATGTATTATTCTAGCTAGAATCATCCATCCGATAAATGTTAATCCTCCTAAACAGATGACAACTGGTACAAAATATCCGGCGACCGTGTCGGCAAATTCTTGAATTGGTGCTTTCGAAGTTTGCGCCTCTTCTACCAATTTCACTATTTGAGATAACGCGGTATCACTTCCCGCACGTGTAACCTCCATGTCAAAAGTGCCTAATTCATTAACAGTTCCACCAATAACCAAATCTCCTGGTCGTTTAGTTACCGGATCAGCTTCACCAGTGACCATTGATTCATCTACTGTTGATTGACCGGAAATAACAATGCCATCTGAGGGAATTTTATCACCTAAAAATATTATATTTCCAATTAATTATCAATGTAGAGATATAATAAACAATCAGAATATTATTTATGTCACCTGGCACGATTTTAACCATATCTCCCACTTGCACTAATTCTGTAGGAATCTTTTTTTCCTCTATAATATCACCAGTTTTAGGATCTTTAACAAAGATGGTTGTTACAGCAGGTGTAAGTGACATAAGTTTTGATAAAGCAACAGAAGTTTTCCCTTTGGCCATATTTTCCAAATATCTACCAAAAGTTACAAATGTGATTAACATAGTTGATGTATCGAAAAACACAGATGATGGCCGATCATGTGGATAAACAATTAGCGCATAAAACATTGCGAAGCATGAAAAAGTAAAGGCTGAAGTCGTCCCTAAAACTATCAAGACATCCATGGTTGCGGACTTATGTTTAAGAGCCTTATAGGACGTAATATAAAATCGTTTACCGATGCCAAATTGTACTGGTATGGTCAAGATGAGACTGATAAGGTCGCCACTGTAAATTCCGGGAAGTAACATTACGTCAACTAAGGCTGAACCCCAAGCAAAACCTGGAAGAACCATGGAAACAAGAAATACTGGAATAGCAAAAGCAAGAGATTGGTAAAATGCCCTTCGCCATTCAGTGATTTCTCTTGTGCGAGCCAATGATTCTAATTGCGTCTTTTGACTATTGTCATAGATCAAGACACTAAAGCCAGAATCACCAATATTTTCAATTTTATCCACAATATCTCGAACACCTAATCGTTCCTTATCAAATTGAATTACACCAATTGTAGTATTAAAGTCTATAGATACACTAAGTATTCCGGGAACCTTGAACAATTCTTGTTTAATTTCTTCAACGTGTGAAGAAGTTTTCATTCCGAAAATTTGAACCTCAATCTTGTCTTCACGTTTTGGTTGAATGGGAGAAGCCTCAAATCCAATACTATTAATCATTTCAGATATCTTGTGATCATTTATAATATCTGTATTATATTCTACTACAGCTCGCTCTGCAAGCAAGGAAACTTTAATAGATTGGATACCAGAAACTTCACGAAGATGTTTTTCGATACTATTAACACAGGATGCGCAAGTCATTCCACGTACATGGATCTGACAAACTCGTATTTTATCTGGATCGAAAGTGTGATTTTTTATTGTTTTGAGTGGAAAAGATTCCTGATAAGGAGAATCCTTTAAAGTAACGTTGGTAAATGGCGCAAATTCTGAGGCTATTGGCGATATTAAATTAACATTTGATAAAATGGGAACTTCAAACCCACAATTTTCAATCACTTGTATTATGTCTTGTTCTTTAATCAACTCCTCATCGTATTCCACGGTCGCATTCTCATTTTCAAGACTCACCACCACACTATTAATGCCTTGAGAAAATTTTAAAGCACTCGTAATGGAGTTGACGCATGAATGACAAGTCATTCCGCGTACAGGTAATATTGCAGTTTGCATTCTGTCGCTCGCTTCAATACTTCGAGATTTACTAAACAGCAGGGCCAGGATAGCAGGGACAGCACATACTCTTAAATATTTGCGTTTTTGATGTTCGTAGTCGTAACCGGTTGGTATGTTGTACGATTTACTTGATTTGGATATACTATGTGGCTCAGCGAAGGCTTACGATTTCTTATCGTTATTGTAAGCTATTGTAAGCGATACTCTAACACCACTTTATATTAGTTTTGATACTATTTATGTATGCAAAGATGTACATATAGTATGATATAACCCTTATTCAATCGCAGCTTTATGCATTATTTGAAACACCGTGTTTAGTGTTAGTATAACCTTGTTCAACGACTAGGATAAACATCCGTCACAATTTAACTTGGCATTCAAGTGACTTCTATCGAAGATAAGTTACAACTTGAGGTTGAAACTCCAACTCCAACGCTGCAACCCTAATACAATTAAACCATTTTAATATCGAAACATAATTCGTTATGCATTCAAATTTTTTTTGTATAAATCATAATTATATTTAGCTTTATTTATCGATTGTAACCCAAGACTATTACGTAAAAGAAATTAATAACTTTACCATCCGTAACCTAAAAGCGATTCTCATTTAAGATTAAACATACCTAATTAAGTTATAACATAGTAAGCATAGCGGGCTTTTATCTGATTGGTCTTTCACAAAAATATTTTCCTTACAACCAAATATAGGGATGGATGTGCTATCCAAATTAGTCTAGTTCACCGGAACAAGTCTTCAATTAACGTTAATACAATTCAATTCCTTTCTGAATGGTCCCAAACATGGGACTTGGAAGCGGTATCGTTATAACGACTAATGACTTTAGCAAAAGGCGACCATGTTTTCACAAATACACACATTATTGCTCAATCTATATACTCTTGCGACTTACAACCAAATTGAATGGTGTTCAAACAGGTCGGTCGAGTCGGTCACTGGCCAGGTCTGGAACGATCTGGGCCTATCAAGATTATAGCAATAATAGACAAATGTTAAAAAAAAAAATCTTTTGACGAAGACTGATCATTCAATATGAATACTCGAAATAGTATTTATTTACAAGATATGCCCAATATTATACGATATGAGACAATATACTGTGGTATATCCACTATATATTTATAAATGCGCCAAATGATAATGAAGTCAATCTAAAACATCTTTTTATGAATAAAGTCATCATTATAATATTTGTAAAGGTGTTCGAGAGCCTGTAAATAAAAATTTATCCCGAGAATTGTGCTATTATTAATCAAATATAGAGAGAGGCAAGGTAATTACTTACATAACAATATATATTTACAACGAGTAACACGCTAACTTATGTACGTACCAAGCAAAATCGTTGGACATAGATATATGTTCATGGACAATGTCCAATGTCCAAATATGTTATTGGCTGAAAAATCTTTATTATGAAAATTTTCTAACGCGAACGCCTGACAACTTACACTACAAAAAACTTATCCACCAACAATCCATGTTTCCGAGGCTCCATTTCAGCATGTTTTTCTGGCAACCAATTGCGGATGTGCTGTGCATCAAATGAATATCTGTGTCAAATTAAAATAATTATATTATCGTTAATGCCTACTCTTTAGCATAAGCATTCACATTAGATGAAATTCTGTATTTAAAGTTTGGTCGGATGCAAATTTTAACTCGACGTGCAAACATATTTGAGTTTATGTTCGTATTTTATTAATAATGTCATTTATAACATTTTTTATTATCATAACCTTGGACATAGGAATTACCTTGTACGTACACTGTTTTTGATTGTCCATAAGCGTGAACAGTTCATGTCCAGTACATATCCATTTCTATGTCCAAAGACAATACTGACCTTGCCCATTTTTAGTCACATATACTATCGGTGTTATTAATACATATAACACATTGCTGTTCAGATCCTAAAATTTAAATACGACCTGAAATTTAGATTATCTGTTATTACAGTTTTCATACGTAATACTACTGATACTGATATGTACGTACGTACATACAGTTCACAGAATTCAAATCATAATAAATTTGTAAAGTAAAAGTCACGTGAGGCATATAAATTACTACCGAATTAGAAGTGGAGGTTTGGTTAGAGACGAAACAACACAGCAAAAAGAGAAAGGGAAGACGGAAGAACAAAACAGATACGGGTACCTGGCTTTAAAGGTAGGTTAAATACGGTAACAGGTTATTCTATGTAATTGATCAACATCGCCAATCTTCATTGTTAGATTGAAATGTAAAAAGAGAATTTAGCCCAACTTTAAATCAAAATTATAAGTACAGTAGAATTTTTTTCAAGCACCAATTTTGAAATAGAAAAATTTTTTTCTTAATTTTGTCGATCATCCTGCATAAGCCAATCAAATGCATTTTCACGATTAATTTTTTTTTCGGATATCGATATCTGTTTCTTAGTATACTGATATATAAATAATTGAATCCAATTCACCCATTAGAGAAACATGGTATGTAAATTCATCTTAGATCTAATACAATTCACTAAAATCTCTTGAAATAATAATAATTCTTATTTAATTATTTATATAGCCACAAAACGAATATATTGAAGAGTCGATAAAGCGCCATGGTCGACGTTTGGATTATGAAGAGCGCAAGTAAATGTTTAATTCAATTAAAGCAAAATTTTCAAAAATTTGTATTTACTCTTTTTTACAAAAAAAAAGACGGAAAAGACTTGCTCGTGAAGCGCATAGTTCTTCAGCCTTTGCTCAAAAGGTTCATGGGCTTAGAGCTAAATTATATAATAAAAAACGTCATGCAGAAAAGATACAAATGAAAAAGATGTAAGCAGCATTATTAACTTTTTCTTTGCAACAATTTGGTCAATGGTTATATTAATATACTTTGATCTTTCTAAATTCAAGGATCAAACAACATCAAGAAAAGTCTGCTAAACAAAAGGATACACAGGCAGTTCCTGATGGTGCAATTCCTACATATTTATTAGATCGTGAAGGACAACAGAATGCCAAAATATTATCAAATATGGTAAAACAGAAACGTAAAGAAAAGGCTGGAAAATGGACAGTACCATTGCCTAAAGTTCGTGGAATTGCTGAAGATGAGATGTTCAGAGTTATAAAAACCGGAAAAAACAAAACAAAGCAATGGAAGCGTATGGTTACAAAAGCAACATTTGTTGGTGAAGGATTTACTCGTAAACCACCAAAATACGAAAGATTTATTAGACCGATGGCATTACGTTATAAGAAAGCACATGTCACGCATCCGGAATTGGGTGCGACATTCTATTTGCCGATTATTAGCGTTAAGAAAAATCCTCAAAGTCCTCTTTACACACAACTGGGGGTAATTACAAAGGGCACCGTGATAGAGGTTAGTTGATTTTATCAAAATTCAAAATTATTCCTAAGAGTTGATATTAATTTCTTTAATTTCTTTAAATTTCTTCAATTATAGATAAATGTTTCTGAACTTGGACTTGTGACAACTTCGGGTAAAGTTGTGTGGGGAAAATATGCGCAAGGTAGGCATTTAAAAGATGATTTTCATGTAAATTGATAATTAACTAATGTTATTTCATTAAAAGTCACAAATAATCCAGAAAATGATGGCTGTATCAATGCAGTTCTTTTGGTTTAAATTATTCTGTGGTTAGTTGTGTTAGATTATGTAGGGATATATAAAATAATGGTTAACGAAATGAATGCTGGTAATGAAATGTTGGTTGGTTACAAAGATGCTGCGGAATCCTTGTACTGTGTGTGTAACAGTTATTTACTAGAGTTTTCCAGATGGATCTCGTGATAAAGCTGTGAAGAATTTTCCAGAAAGACCTTGTTTTTTAAAAAAAAATAAATAAAAATAAAAAGACAAATTTTTACTGTTTTTAATAGTTTAAAAAAAATAAAAATGAGCGTAAGTACATTTACTATTAATGACAATGGTTTGGAAAATTGTTTATTCACCAATGTATATAAAAGGTCAAAAAACCGTGTTATGGTCGATGTATTTTTGTGTTCTTATGACGAATATTTAAAATCTCACTATGACATCGGTTTTTAGGCTGAAGAATACAAAACCTTAGGCAATCAAGCCTTTTCCGCGAAAGAATACGAAAAAGCGATAGAATGTTTCTCTAAAGCCATTGAATTAGATCCTTCGAACCATGTTCTCTACTCGAACAGGTCTGCGTCTTACTCGTCTTTAAAGAAATACGATAAAGCTTTGGAAGACGCGAACAAGACCGTTGAATTGAAGAGCGATTGGGTAAAGGTAAAGAAAATTTCACGCTTTATCTAAACCGTTTCTTATAATTGAATTTTAACTTGATCGATACTTGATCGTTATTAGGGCTATAGCAGAAAAGGTGCTGCTCTTCATGGTCTCGGTAAGATTCAAGAAGCGCGTGAGACATACCAGGAAGGTCTTAAGATTGATCCAAACAATGCTCAGCTTAAAAAGTCTCTCGAAGATCTTGAACGTGCTGAGAGTAAGTTAGGATAACGTGTACATTTTATATTTTAAAATTAGAATTTTGGAGTAAAAGAACAAAAAAAAACATTTTTGAAATATAAATCAACAGATCCACAATTTAAGATATTCAGCGACGATGCTCTTGTGAGAATCGCCATGAATCCGAAATTGAGAACGTATCTTGATCAGCCAGATTTTGTTGAAAAAATTAAGTCGATACAAGCTGATCCTAATCAACTTCAATTGTATATATTATAGTTTTTAAGTTTTAATTTTAAGTTTAATTATTCAAACTGTAAAATTCATTCGTCTCCTTTCAAGGCATATGCAAGATAACCGCGTAAAAGAAGCATTAATGTTTTTGTTGACCGGAGAAATGAATTTTCCTCAAGAACCTCAAGAAACCGAAAAACCAGCTGAGCCTGAACCAAAGACTCGTGATGTTCCCGAACCGGAACCAGAACATGTGGAAAAGTCAGAAGAAGAGCTTAAGAAAGAAGAAGCAGTCAAGGAAAAGAATCTTGGTAATGAAGCATATAAAAAACGAGAGTTCGAAACAGCATTACAACATTATGATAAGGCTTGGGAGTTGGATCCTACTAATGTTTCTATTCTGACCAATAAGGCGGGTGAGTAAGATTTAATTCTATCATTTTGAAAATTTTACATTTAATTATTAGAAATATGTAATTGTAATAATATTATATTACACAATTTGTAGCTGTATTGTTTGAGCAAGAAAATTATGAAGAATGCATTAAAATTTGTGAGCAGGCTGTCGATGTTGGTCGTGAAAATCGCGCAGACTTTAAATTAATTGCTCGGTAATAATAAATCAATATATTCAACTCATTAATTACGTCTACAATATGATTAGTCAACTTATCATATTTCAAAATTTTAAAGAGCCTATGGAAGAATTGGAAACGCGTATGTTAAACTTGATAAGCTGGATGATGCAATTAAATATTACGGCAAGTCGCTAGCTGAACACCGAACACCCGAAATACTTACTAAATCTAACGAAATTAAAAAGCTGAAAGACAAACGTGAAAAAGAATCTTACTATAATCCAGAGCTTTCTGAAAAAGCTCGAGAAGCTGGAAATGAACTTTTCAAAAAAAATGACTTTGCAGGCGCCGTGCAACAATACACGGAAGCGATTAAACGTAATGAGAACGATCCAAAATCTTATAGTAATCGTGCTGCTTGTTATACAAAACTAATGGCATTCCCAGAAGCATTGAAAGACTGTGAGACTTGTATTAGCCTTGATCCTACCTTTGGTAACGTATTCATCACGTCTTGTACTATTTAATTGATACATTATGAGATATTAACACTTTTTAATTACAGTTAAAGCCTATATTAGGAAGGCAGCGGTAGAGTTTTTAAAGAAAGATTATTCAAAATGTTTAGAGACTTGTAAAACCGCGCTGAGCTATGATACGGAAAAAAAACATACATCAGAAATTCAAGGGCAGATGAGAAAATGTCAAGAAGCAATGTATCAAAATAGTCCAGAAAGTGTAGAAGAGACAATTCGCAAGGCTGCTAGTGATCCAGAAATAATGGCATGTACACCAATGATGAATTTGATAGTATGAAAAAGAGCACTATTTTAAATTATATATATATATTTTTTCTCAATTAGAAAATCCTCCAAGACCCTATTATGCAACAGATTTTACAACAAGGCCAGGAGGATCCAGGTGCCTTAAGAGAGTACGTATTTATTTAGTTTAACAGGTACAATTAAATTCTACCGGAACTAATGATTATTTATTGTGTAGACATCTTAAGAATCCTACTGTGAAAGCAAATATCGAAAAGTTGATGAACGCTGGCATTTTGAGGACTTCTTAAAACTTTTTTGACATTTGATCTTTCCAATGTGACAAACATCCACACGCGAACAGATCGTTTTATTTCTACTGCAAAAAATTATAATTTTCTTTTTGAATCAATTATTGTAAATTCGGTACAATAAAAATATAATGATTATATTTATTATGTACTTGTGAGTTAATATAAATTGCTTAATTATAAATAGTTTTTTTAATTTTATACAAAGGTTGAAGTAATATTTAGGTAATATCTCTAAATTTATAATCTCAACCGCTTGTCTAAAATTACTATATATATAGTTAATAAAGCAAAAAAAATTTAATTTTATGGTTGTGACAAAATTGTATGTTTATTAACCAATCAAATCGTGAATCTCAAAATACAAAAAACTATACGTACACTCCCCTGACATTGATCACCGGAATTTTATAATTACACAATGTCGATCATTTTTTTTTACAAGTTTTACGAC